ATCAGTTGAATATTTTTCAAATCATTAAATATTTAATTAGTTTTTATTAGAATTTCGCAAAAACAATATATAATTGTTAAACTGAGTGATAAGAAATTTTGAAATCTGAGACAATGTCAGTCTATACTGACAACTAAAGTATTCAGTATAAACGAGTACATTGGCATCTTAAATATTTAATATTAAACGGACTTTGCAATAAGAAAGTTGTTATGTTTAAGAGTCTTAAGTGAAATAATTCAAAAGCAAATAAATAATTATACAAAAATTATTATTATATTATAACATACATTATAATATATTGAAAGAAACATTCAACTTCATAATTAAAACCGGAATTTGTTATCATGAACGGTTTAAAGTATTTAATATTTCTACTCTTCGCAGTACAATTGATAAGTGCAAAAGCAGCAGATTTCCAACTTAAAAGATATAAAAAGATACAAAACAAAGTTGCATTGCCAATACTATATCGTATGCCTTATACAGGAGGTTGTTTGAGTAGTCGTTATCCTAGATCATGTAGCAAATACTACTATAGACACAAGTGTTGTTATTATAATTAAATGCATTTTAATTAAGTCCACAATAAAAATTAAATAAAATATTTTATAATTTTATATAACTAAATATTGAGTTTTATTTTGTAAAGAATGATAACTTAAAAGTAAAAGGTATTGTTGCCTGTATATATTTAAGGGTTAAAGATTTTGTATTAAAGTTTCTTTAAATATCGTAAAAACTTTTCAGAAATAAAATAAAATAAAAGAAAAAAGAACTATTATATGTATGTCATATATCAATTTTTTTTTATTCTCTTCGCACAATATTCATTTATTTAGAGATAATGAAAAGAAAACGTACTCAAAGCAGTTGTAGTGGTGATGTCACCGCTTCACTGCTGTAACTAGCTATATTTGAAAAAAAAAATCAAACAACGTTGAATCTTCTATAATATGAATATTTACAAAGGGAGGGGAAAAAACTAACATGCTATATTTAACTAGGTATAACTAATAAAGTAAATAACAATTCACATAATATTTTTAATTAATATTTTTAATAGGAATGTTTCAAAACAAAAAGACTTAGCTTGTCTAATATATTAAATTCACAATAGAGCATTGTGAAAAATGTATATTAATATAATGGAGAAAACACAATTCATATAATTACACCAGAAAATACTCGTAATAATACATACTATAATATATATATAATATAAAACGTGGAGTCTATTTCTGCTGCAAGGAAGGCAGATGTCTAAAATATCGCTGTGTTAATTCTTGGCAGGACAAGTGCTGTTACGGCATAAAATCTGAAGATGTACAGTACAGCTGTTACGGCAACAATACAACAACTTGTAGTTGACACACTGGAGTTGATTAGTGATTAGGCAGTTCGGCCTAGCACACATCCAATTTTTAGTTTCCATCAACTTCTTTGCAGATGCAAAATGTAACCAATACTGCAACAACTAACTTGTTACAAAAAAAGCAAAGATCCATCTTTTTCTTGAACGGTTAGTTATAAGATGAGTGATCATTTGATCCATACAATCAACGACTGCTTTATTAGAATTATAATATAATATTGTTTCTGGTTTCTTTCTGCTCCTTTATTAATTTTGGTGTAGTGCACTGTGGAAAGTAAGTTCTTTTGGTTTTGGATTCTTTTTTTGGTTATTTACGAACCATTTTGCAGTCTCATCAATCTGTCTTTGTTTTAAACATGCAAAATCGATAAGATTATTTTTATTTTGATAAGCGAAGCACTGTTATATGATAATAAAAAGCATTTTCTGATAATACTTCCGCATTGTATTCTGACATTTCATTCTCTTTAATAATGTTACACATGATATCAACATTTAGGAATATTGTTTTCGAAGTTACATATCTATTATCACATCTTGATGTCAATGCAACAGTTCACTGAAGAAAGAAGCGATACGTTGAAAGCTCACTAAATGGGACGTTCGAGTAATAAATTGAATTAAGCTTTGCCCTTGGATTCCTCATAATTTGTCAAAAGCAAAATGCTGACAAAGTACGCCCGAGGTAGCTTAAAATATGTCTACAACATTGTGATAGGTGACGAATAATGGATCGAATAATGAACAATAATCCAGTGTTTGGGTTTTCCAAGGGGAGCAGAACTTGACAAAAGCTGAATTCAAGCAAATGATCTTAGGGTTTTTCTAAAAACTCGGTCATGTCGCAACTATACCACATGAACAACATAGAACGGTTACTTCGAAGTGGTACAAAACCATTGGTTTGCCGGAAGATCATCCTCCACCACTACAATGCGAGCTCCCACACATCAGCTAAACAAAATAATTTTTGAATCTTTTAAAATGTCGAATTGATGGATCCGCATTACAGTCCTCACTTGACACCGTCACACAATGACTTTTTCTCATTCCCAAACATTAAGAAAGATTTCGTGGCCAGCATATTATTAAATGAGTCGTTGAGACACTCAAAACCCTGGGTTTGGAGATACCAATTTCAAAATTGTTTCGAAAGTTGGTTCAATCGAATGCAAAAAAGTTTTGATCATCACGGAGAATAATTCGAAAGACAATAAAACCATTTTCAATGATTAACGACTGTGTTTTCATTGCAGCTCTTGTAATAATTAATTGTATTCTCTTTTACGATTTTGATAAAAAATTTTGAAATCTGAAGCAATATCAGAATACATTGACAACCAAAATATTCAGTGTTAAACGGACTATACAGTAAGAAAGTTGTAACGTTTAGGAGTCTTAAGTGAAATAATTCAAAAACAAATTAATAATTAAATAAAATTGAAAATCCGCTAAGAAGAAATACATACAATATATTATAAAATATTAAATAAATATTGAATTTTGAAACTAATTTTGAATTTATTATCATGAACAGTTTAAAGTATTTAATATTTTTACTCTTCGTAGTACAATTGATATGCGCTAAAGCAGCAGATTTCCAACTCAAGGGATATAAAAAGATACAAAACAAAGTTACATTGCCAATGCAATATCGTCATGGAAGATATAATGGAATGCCTCCTAGGTCACGTTGCCCCTACTCTAAACACAATGGATGTCGTTATTGAATGCATTTAAATTCAGTAAAAAAAAATAAAATTAATAAAATACTATTAACTATTGAGTTTTATTTTATAGAAAAATATTAATTAAAAATAAAAGATACTGTTGTCTGCATATATTTAAGTATCTATGATTTTATATTGAATTAACGTTAAACATCAGAAAAAGTGTTCAGAAAAATATAATGTAAAAAGTAAGTAAAAAAATCGTTCACACGTAAGGTACTGATGAGGTACTGAGCTTTTTTATATCCTATAAACAATCGATTAATTATTTCACATTCTTGATTGGTGCGTGATCGTGGGTATATTACCTTAAATGAACTGGTATTAATCAACCAGTCTTAGTGATGTTTGAACGCTGATCATATCAAGTCTCTTGTATATTTCATATGTTTGTTTTTATAATATTCAATATATCTAAATATAACTTTTCTGGCAACAAGTGTTCAGAATTTAAATACACTCCCTACTAACTAGGTTTTTAACAACAAATTTTCAAGCACAACAACAAGACTTGCATATATAAAAATTTCGTTGCATCTGTATTGCAGCGTAACTTTTTTTCTATCATTAATAGTGGAAATGAAATAAAAGTTTAAAAGTTTCTATGTTTTGAGAGCTTAATTGACATTAGCAGAGAGGTAAACCACTTTGAGCTTCATACAAAGACCGTTATATTACGGTCTAACACTTAACATTTATAACGCAGGATATAAAAACTCCGAATATTGTTATAAAGTATTTTATCGTACGAGTATATATATCGTAGCATGTAGTACATCCGAATGTTTGTATTAAGCAGCATATCGTAAATGGGTTTGATTGCGTGGGCAACATGAAGCTATGTTCAAAGTTCATTGCAGTTATATACATGAGCACAAATACCGGTGTTTAAACACATTGAATATTGCGTGGATGCTGTCAGCTGTTGTATTCCTTAAATGCTTTAAGTGGTCTGCAGCTCAAAAGGACAAGTTAGTCTACTCAGGAACGTTGACTTGAACGGTTTGCAACTTAAAATAAATGTGGTTATAAAGTTTAAGGAGCCAGTTTCTGTTATGTCTACATGTATTTACATTTCTTAAAAAATAAAATTAAAATATATAAAGTAAAATTTAAAAAATTATTAATTTTGATTTGAAGAAAAAAAAAACAAATATTAAATGAAAAATATTTAAAAAAATTTTAAATTAAATTTAAAAAAAAGATTTGAAAAAAAAAATTAAAAGAAAAAACATATTTAAAAAATATGTAATAAAAAGAAAATATTTAAATAAAAATTAAAAACAATACAAAACTAAATAAAAAAAATTTTGAATTGTTTTAAGAATTTACAACTTCATTTAGTAAAATTTCAACTTTTTGGTATTTAAGTTTTTAATATGTGATTTGCGTTTGTTAAATAAATAACAATAAATAATTTAATAATTCAAACATTTAAATTAAATTATTGTGTAAAATAATAATAACAAAATATTTTGTGCCAATATTTTGAAGCTATTAAATTTTCTTACTGAATTAATTGTTAATCTTTAATATGGAAAATAAACTAAAATTTAAGTATTCTACAATATTTTTGATTTCAAAATATATGTAATAAAAGAAAAACATATAAACTAATATAATATTTGTAATAAATAAATTCATATTAAAAAATAAACGATTTTAAAATTCATTAATTATATTTTAAAACAAAAGGGTTAATATAAGTTTATCCATAAATAACTGTTTATAATGTATTATCTGCATAAATAAATATAAATGACGCTTTTAATATTTTTAACATTTTAAACTAAATAATTTTATGTAATTTGAAAGTATTTATATCAAATTAAAACTATTTCATTAAAGCACTTTTAATGTAAATAAACCAATAAAATAACTTAACAATAAGATTTAACAAATAAAATAGATTCATTGTCCACATCATCATGTCATTTCGCGCGCAGGACTTACGTGCTTTGATGTCCTTTTTCTCACAAAAATCAGCCTCTGGCAATATTATCTCGCTGGCACTGACACAGACTAATGACACAGTCAATTCCACATTTAATATTAGTGATAATGAAAGTGTTGTGTTTTCAACTGCAAATCCTAACAGTAATCAAACTAGTCCGATTATACCGCGAATCAGTTCGGAAATGCCAATTTGGTTGATTCCGTGCTATAGCATCATTTTACTCTTTGCAATTGTGGGCAATTTATTGGTGATTTCAACTCTTGTGCAAAACCGTCGAATGCGAACGATAACCAATGTTTTTCTACTTAATTTGGCAATATCGGATATGCTTTTGGGTGTGCTTTGCATGCCAGTCACGCTTGTTGGAACTCTACTGAGGCATTTCATCTTTGGCGAATTTCTATGCAAACTGATACAGTTTTCACAGGGTAAGTGAGAAAGCTATTTATACGTATTAAAAAATTTTTTTTGGAGGTAATCAAAATCATGTTTTTGTCAATAAGTATTATGGGTTGTTGAGATAATACCTACGTACAAATTTAAATCCCCATACATGATATATTTCTTGAACAAATTTAAATGCGTTGGGAAGTACAAAACGTATTTAATGGCAAAATGTTGTACGTCAAATATTATTGCATATTGCAATTTGAAAAACATACAGAAAAAAATTGATATACGTTTATGTTAAGAATATATTGATAAGAAACAGGGTATAAGAGCATACAATATATTTGGTACTAAAGAATGAACTAAGGATTGTAGTGCACATTAAATAGAGAAGGTTAAAATTATTTGAGTTTTATATTGAAATTATTATGAGAAGACGTAACTATAAAATAAATTTTTAATTTTAATCATAATTAAGAAAATTTGATATTCAATTAATTTCCAATTTTTAAACAAGTGGATTCTTGGGCTAAGCACTTTTTTTAATCCCGCAAAGTATCTATCTACAGAATGATTATATTTATTTACTTTTATTCAATGCTAAGTTGTATGTTTCAAGCGAATGCTGTGATACAAAGAACAGCGGAGGCATTAGATGGACCTCGCTCCATCCTAAGGAAAAAAATATATTCAACAGTAATAATAACTTCAATTGGAATCAATGAAATTTTTTGGAATATCTAATAAAGGCGTTTATTGTTACTATAACGACAATAATGATCAATAACGAAATTAGCCGAACATTTGCCGAACTAATATTTTTGGATGGTTATTAAAGTCCCAAATTTCCTACCAAAATTACGAAGAATATAAAAGCGCTTTTATTTTTTTATTTACCTGTTGAAACGTTTCGTTCTTCTTTCCCTTTATCTTCATAAATTTATTTAAATACAATTATATGCAAATAAATTTTGGCTTTTGAAAATAAATACGACAAGTACGATTAATTTTTCAAGTATGATTAATTTTTCAATCAGTAACATACTTCGAAGGCTTGAACGAATTAAAGGGACGCAGAGGAATATGTTATTGTCGAAACAACTGAAGGTGTCTTTTTTAAACTTTTAAAAATATATAACACTGCGGCCATATATCCATTCCTATAAAACCTTACATATTTATTATAAATATAATGACATTACAAGTTTTCGGTCAATAATTAAATTTCTTATAAACCAACGGCGACAAAGAATCTCGTACATTTGATGTTGTTTTAGAATATCTAATATCAACAGAGCAACAGAGAAATTTAAAAAGGTAAATGGGTCTAGAATATGTCACACTATGACAACACACATTATTAGAATATTACTCAATAGGCCCTCAGGTGGAATCCGTAAGGCACCAGATGTGCTATTCAAAAAGATAAATGAACTTAAAATAGAGAACACTCTGAGAACAATAAGTAACAACATTGGCAAATCCTCAGGAAGAGCCCGCAAAGCTCTAGGCGGTCGGTGCTCCAGTCATTATCTAGAGGGAATTAATGGAATGCTAATTGAAGGATGAAAATTATTCATTACATGAAATGACACATAAACACATTTCATGAATTGTATAAATCATCATTGTATTTTATGTATTTATGATCAAACATTTGGTATTTATAATAAATATATAATACACTTGCGATGCGGAAAAACATTCGCCGGATCAACTAGTATAATATTAATACATAACAGTAATTAATACTAATATATAATATTAATTAATATTAATTTATAAAATAAATTAATTATAATTCATTTCGATTTTAATGTCAATATGACATTAGTTACTATTTTTACTTAATAGAAACAGTGGTATTTAAAAAAGAGACTTTGAAAAGTAGTGAACTACAACAACAAATATTTTTTTTAACATTTTTTTAAATAATTGAATTCTTGGCTGACCTTATAGGTTTTTGATCAAAATTGTACGACCTTGGTTGGCTAATGTGCACTGACCCTGAGCTTCAAATTTGACAGGGCACGACTTCAATTTTTTTTACGTGCAATCTCAAAAAAACAATTATTTAAAAATAATTAAGCATAAAAAATAATTCCAAGATCACTAATGATGGGTATTTGACAATACTCGAGAGAGTTGACTATACAAGTTAACTAAAAATTCAATTAATTAAAATAATATAAAAAGAATTTTTGTTCTTGTGCTTGTAAATCATATCATAATTTTATTATATTTATAATATAATTTAAATATAATTGTATTATAATAATCTTATAATTATATTATAATTATTTTATTTTATTATTATTTTATATAATTAAATTATATTATTATATTACATATAATTATGACTATATTATAATATTATTATATTATATATAACTATATAATAATAATATAATAATAATAACAATATAGACATATTATAATTATAAAACCACACGTTTCTTTTTTAGTAATCCTATTAAGTTTAACTGCTTACTTAATACAAAATCTAACATTCATTTCAATAAAATTTAATCTGTTGATTTAAGTGAGGGCCGTGATATAAGGTTTACTTATTTTATTATATATTATACAATGTATAGTTAAAATAAAAAATTGCAATGCTATGTAATTGTTGACAAGATTTTAAAACTTATTATTAGTCTCATGGTAAGAGAAGATACAATACATAAATTTATAAGTATTTCAAGAAAAATAATTATATTATAATGACATGATTATATTGTATAATTATAATTATAAGGTATAAAAACTAATTTACCGACATTGCCACTCAGAACATAATATAGTTTAATTGAGGTATATTTAAAATTACAAAAAAAAAAAAAGCAGAGTAATAGCAGAGTCACACAACTAAATAAATATTTTTTAAGGCAATTTAATGTTTCTCAGGTGTCATTTTAATGCACATCGCAAATGTTGTTCAGTCAAATTCGCCCTAAGTTTTAAAATTTTCCACAAAAATAAAATCATAAAGTAGCAATTAAATGGAGCAATCACTTCGGCCATGAAAATTTCAGAAAAATATAATAATGAATTATTACTTAATAAAACACTTGGGCTTCGCAAAAAATCTTTTTTATTTCAATTGTTTATCATGGAAATAAAAGTGTAGGGAAAACAAGGACACCGAACAGCTCAAAAAAATTCAATTGAATCGCACAACCGACAGGAATGCTTCCTAGACAAATTGTTATAAATAAATAAACAAAGGAAAGTACAACTGTTAAATTGCAGCTCATACCAAAACATTAGGAATTCCCCTCTAACACCAACCGACCCGACCGCCATTTCTCCACATTTTTGATTTATAATATAAATTTGGGCTCTGTTTGAGCTTGCCAAATAAAATGGCACGTAATAAAATATTGTTAAGGACGAAACGAAATCGTTAAAAATTTGAGTTACCAGTGCATACGGCACAGGAAAGTGAAATTAAACGAAGCAATATTTATGTACTATATATAGTATGAGTGCTTATATATAGAGATATGTATATATATCTATTAAAGTTAAGTATGAAATTTATGTGTTTAGTTTGTTGTCATAAAAACTGTAAGCGAATGCGAGTGTAAGGACAAAAAAATTATCAGTTAAGGGATAAAAGTTGGTGAATGTCCAAATTAAACAAAAAATGAATATTTTATCATGATAAGCAATAACGATTATGTTCGTATTTTGACTATTTTTTGTTGTATTTCTGTATTTGCTAAAGTTGTTTAAGGATTGAATAATAAAATTAGCTGACCTTCATATATTGCGTAGAAAAGTTACTCATAAAAATAATGTTTATTGTTTATTTTTTTTTTTAGAAAGTTATATTTACTATTTGTAGATATTTGTGTGCTAAAACACGTAAAATTTGTCCTAATAGTACGCTTAATATTTAATATGTTAATACAAAGGCTTACAGCACAAATTTTTTCTTATTTTGATATCGAGTTTTTAGTGCAGTTATCCAGCACTTTTTTATGTTCATGTTATTTTATGTTTTACACAGGGTTTGAATTGCTTGCTGAAAATTAGCAAAAGCAACCATATTTTGACTAATGCATAACTATGGACCAGTCGATTTTTGTCAAACGACTAATTGCTAACGCATTGCATATGAAAATGAAATAAAAATATGCATTAGCAACAGCAAAAAACGTAAACTGGTTTCATTTTGATTGCTTGCTAATAGTCAATTTTACATTTTTGACTATTATGCATTTGGAATATATGCAACTTGCTTGCTTATGCGTTAGTTGCTTGTGTTTTGCTATTAGCAAATGTGTATGGATTTCTTTTTTTGTTTTTGTTTTAAGGGAATGTGTACGCATTATTTCTTTGTCAATTATGATGTGTGCGTACAATTTGTATGCAATTAATATAATTTTATTTGTAATTAGATTATGCCTAAACTTATGTTTATTTTAATTATTAAATTTATGATATATATGATATATATATATATATATAGATAGATATATATATATATATATTAATTATTAACTATTAATTCATATATAAATAAATATATATATATATATAATATATATAAATAATTTTGTATTAAAATTAAAATATAACTTAATATTTAAAACAGTTTAAAAAGTGAAATTTTTTATTTTATTTAAAAAACGTTTTTATAAATTAATGTGTTTAATAAACGACCTACGCCCGGTAAAAAACATAAAAACTTTGTTATCAATTATGATTAAAAATTTTAATTTGATGTTATTATTCTTCTAAATTTAAGTCCCATTCAGGAGGTTGAAACAACGGCATATCATCAATAGCATGGTCCAAAAATTGAGGATTTAGTTTAACCATGAGAATGTTTTCTAAAGTTTCATGATTAAGACGATTCCGTTGATCAGATAATATCAATTTTAGTGACGAAAAAGCACGCTCGATGGTAACCTTAAATGTAAATGACATTAATTTGATTATTCATATTATGCTAAACGAATATTTTACCTGAGTTGGTGGAATTGCAAAACATATATTCGCAAGCGCATGTAATTCTGGATCAGCAAAC